ACAGATTATGATTGTTTGAGTGATTCAAACCTTCTTATTCCGTCCATTGATTGAGCGAGTCAATCTTCTATCATCCCTTCCATCTCGACATCATTCCACCTTACGCAAGGATTAAGATTGGAATCCCTTCCATCTTGACATCATTCCACCTTACGTAAAGATTAAGCTTGGAATCTCTTGATCATTAGTTGGAGTGATTCCAATCTTATATCAAAACATGAACTCAATAACTAAGTCTAAGTCTAGTCTAGTCATGTTTAGGTTTACCTGCAAAGTGTACAACGATATGAGAAAAAAATTTCAGGAAAATAATCATAGGAATTACAAACTAATTCTAGGAAGTATAAACAAATAAAACAAGACCACACAATTCACTAAAAGTCTTAAACTAATATATGTGCTAATATTAGAGGCAGATCTAGGAATTCTTTAATTGGGGGCTTATGAATTTTTTTAATGGGATAGGGACAACTAAATAAATTTACACTAATTAAGAAAATAAAATTAGACGGAACACGTAATCTCGTCCGTATGTAATTTCGCCTCTATATAGTGTTGAAAAATTCGCCAGATCTAAGTTATACTTGTTTTTTCTTAATAAAAGAGACTTTAATTATATAAACTTTTAATATATAAAAATCCATATAATATAATTACTTAAAAAATATTTCTAATATATTGAGATTTATAAAAGAAAAATTATGTTTTAAAATAAAAAATACATTATAATTTATTTATTTGTTGATGGTTGTGACAAATCTTTTTTTAATACAGTATTTAGTTATTTGTTTTTACATTGTCTCAATAGAATTTTATAATGAGTATCGTCGTCGATATGTGTTTGACTTTGAATAAGCGTCTTCTCTAGTCTTCCACTCCCATCTAAGACGTTGAACAAACAAATCTCTCGATTTTCTCGGAAAAAAAAACACTCGAGAGAGAAACTTGCCCCAACTACGAATCTTCGATCATCGAGAGCACATACAAAGACGAAGATTCCAAATTCAATCATCAATCATCTCTTTTGAATGATCCTTGCTCCTGAAATTTGTTGTTGATCCTTTGAATTTGAGGCGGAGATCTCGAAGATGAAGCAGCTTCTGTGTTATCTTCCATGGCTGCTTCTCTCTCTTGTGGTTTCCCCTTTTAGCGAAGCTCGATTCGTGGTGGAGAAGAATAGTTTGTCGGTGACATCGCCGGAGAGTATAAAAGGAACACATGATAGTGCAATTGGTAACTTTGGGATTCCTCAGTACGGCGGAAGTATGGCTGGTACGGTGGTTTATCCCAAAGAGAATCAGAAATCGTGTAAGGAGTTTAGCGATTTCTCGATTTCGTTCAAGTCTCAGCCTGGTGCTTTACCTACTTTCCTCTTGGTTGATCGTGGAGGTACTTTAATCTTTTTTCTATCTCAAATTCAGAACTTGACTTGATTTGATTTTATTTCCTTGTATGATTCATACTTTCCTCTTCCTGTACCATTGCAAGTTTACATTTTTCCGGCACCCTTTTGGTTTTCAATTGGCAATTTGTTGGTTCTCTCATTGATTTGAGTCAGTTATTGTATTTGAAGATTGATGTTAGATTTATGTAATTTTGAATTTTAGTTGAATCCCTAGTTAAGTGGTCTTCGTTATCAGTAAGTAAGAGAGTTTAGTTGGTAAGTTTTGATGATGGTGTGGTTTAGTGAGAAAGTACTGCAATTTTGTTGGTTTCCGATTGATTGAGTTACTTATTTATTTGTATCTGAAGATTTAGTCCGAGATATGTGTTCTCGTCAGTAAGTAAGAGATTTCAGTTGCTAGGTTGTGATGAGAAAGTTTACTGGCTTTCTTCTTAATTGGTTCGTTGAGTATGTGATGGTTGCAGAACTTGTCTTAGTTTGACTGTTGTGTATAATCAAGTCATATCTACATTTACTTAGCTTAATGGTGGGCGATTGGTTACTTTTTGTTGTTGTGTAGATTGTTTCTTCGCTTTGAAGGTCTGGAATGCACAGAAAGCTGGTGCTTCTGCTGTTCTTGTGGCTGACAATGTTGATGAACCTTTGATTACCATGGATACACCTGAAGAGGATGTTTCTTCTGCTAAGTATATTGAGAATATTACTATACCTTCTGCTCTTGTTACTAAAGGTTTTGGTGAAAAGCTGAAGAAAGCAATTAGTGGAGGTGATATGGTTAACTTGAATCTTGACTGGAGAGAGGCTGTTCCGCACCCTGATGACCGTGTTGAGTATGAGTTGTGGACCAATAGCAATGATGAATGCGGGGTTAAGTGTGACATGTTGATGGAATTTGTGAAAGATTTCAAGGGCGCGGCTCAAATTCTTGAGAAAGGAGGTTTCACGCAGTTTAGACCTCATTACATCACCTGGTATTGTCCTCACGCTTTCACGTTGAGCCGACAGTGCAAGTCTCAATGTATCAACAAGGGAAGATACTGTGCTCCTGATCCAGAACAGGACTTCAGCTCAGGATACGATGGAAAAGACGTGGTTGTGGAAAATTTGAGACAGCTTTGTGTTTTCAAGGTGGCAAATGAAACCGGAAAACCCTGGGTCTGGTGGGATTATGTCACTGATTTCCAGATCAGATGCCCCATGAAGGAGAAGAAATATAACAAAGATTGTGCTGAGTCTGTTATCAAATCTCTTGGTGAGTGTTTCTTTCTTCTTACATAAACAAAAATTTCACAGTGATGTTTTTTTTTGGGATGAATGAAGTCGTATTTTCTATATATTTCTCTACAGGAATCGATAGTAGAAAGATTGACAAGTGTATGGGAGACCCCGATGCTGACTTGGACAACCCTGTTCTAAAGGAAGAACAAGACGCTCAAGTAAATTACTCCTTTTACTTCTGAATTTTCGTCCAGGCATCTCACAGTTATGTTCTTTAAGTAACCCGTTTGGGATTGACATATTATATTATGTAGGTTGGCAAGGGTACAAGGGGTGATGTTACCATATTGCCTACCTTAGTTGTCAACAACAGACAGTACCGAGGTTTGTCCCGCAGTGTTCAACTTAAGACTTCAATATATGTAGTTTAGCTTGTTATATAATCGTTCCCTTGCAGGCAAGTTGGAGAAGAGTGCAGTACTCAAGGCTCTATGCTCTGGTTTTGAGGAGTCAACTGAACCAGCTATATGCCTCAGCACAGGTATGTTTTACATACCCTTACCCCGAATATCCAACCCGGTACTCAAAACACCTAGACTAGGATTTTCCTCTTTATAATCGTATTTTTAAATTTCATCCCCAGTGGTCGGTCATCAAATTAATGGCTGGAATGTACACCAGTGATTACACTTAAAACACTTATTGTGAAATTTTTGAATTTGCAACCTTCTATTGCATTTGACAGATATGGAGACAAATGAGTGCTTAGATAACAATGGTGGTTGTTGGGAAGATAAATCAGCCAACATAACTGCTTGCAAGGTACATTGTGATATTCCTGGGATGAATTTCTTTTATATCTATTAATCTGGTTAATTTGCAGGATACGTTTCGTGGAAAAGTATGCGTGTGTCCTATAGTTGATGGTGTGAGATTCAAAGGGGATGGTTACAGCCACTGTGAGCGTAAGTGCTCGGGTCATCTTTTCAATAATTTTTATGATTATGTAGACTTATGTTATTACATACAGTAGCAATTGAGAATAGCAAAATATTAGTCAAGTTTCTTACAAAGTAATATGTTGTGGTCTTACAGTATGGCAAGAATATCATATAATTTCTAGTCAGTGAATTGTAAAACGAATGTTTTATTTCACGTCTCTGATGAAATTCAAAATATGATCTTGGCTGCATGATCACAAGAACTTTCATAGCAAAATATACTCTTAGCTGACTTCAATGGTGTGTTCTTTGCCTTTGTTGTTGTTGTTGTGCTTCTGTTGGATCACATTTTCATATGTATTATTTGGTGGTTGCCTTGCAGCAAGCGGGCCAGGGAGATGTACAATCAACAATGGAGGTTGTTGGCATGAAGAGAGAGATGGACATGCGTTCTCTGCTTGTGTGGTTAGTGTTTCTTCTGCGCTTTGACTCGTTTTCAAGCACAATCTCACCCTATAGTAAGATACTTATGTCTCAACTTGTAATACCTTCAGGACAAGGACAGTGTGAAATGCGAGTGTCCTCCAGGATTTAAAGGAGACGGTGTTAAGAAATGTGAAGGTTAGACCTCTGTTAAAACTTGGGTTACCATTTGATTTTGTTTTATTTCATAAACATCTTTTAAAGATTTTCGTACTTGATTCACTAGACATTAATGAGTGCAAAGAGAAGAAAACCTGTCAGTGCCCGGAATGTAGCTGTAAGAACACCTGGGGAAGTTACGAGTGTTCTTGTAGTGGGGACCTTCTCTACATGAGAGACCATGACGCTTGCATCAGTGAGTTTTCATCATCTTAAATTTCTACAATTTTATAGATATGCATATGTGACAAACACTGAAAAGAGTACTGGTGCATACAAATAGCCTCTGTAATTAGAAACGTTCCCTCTCTCTTTCAACTGAAATTGGTTCTTTTGTCTGAAATTTAGGCAAGACGGGTTCACAAGTGAAATCAGCATGGGCGGCTGTTTGGCTTATTATGTTATCATTGGGACTTGCAGCTGCTGGTGCATACCTCGTTTACAAATATAGATTGAGGGTAAGCTTTTTATTCCTCTCTCTTCTATTTGTGGTAAAAGCAAAAGATTAATGTTTTATGTTTTGGTTGCCTGAGATGTCGCTTAAAACATAGTTTTATGTTCATGGATTTACAGCAATACATGGACTCAGAGATCAGAGCCATAATGGCACAGTACATGCCACTGGACAGCCAACCCGAGATCCCGAACCACGCGAATGATGAACATGCCTAAGAGAGCGAAATGGTCCATATATCTATTTATTCCCCCGGAAAGGAATCAAGGCGAAGCGTTCTTTTAATTGATGTGGCCCTTGATGCCGGTGTTTTTTTTTCGCATCTGTATCTCTGTAACTCTTTGTACCAAACAGTGTATCCTATGTTCTTGTCACTTGTGTCCATGTGACTTCTGTAATAGGGAAACTTCGATGTAGCTTCGGAGAACTGGACAAGCTAGTCAATAGAATCAAAACATCAAAGTTTTAAAGTTAAATCTTTTAGTCTTGGACAAGTTCGGCTCTTTAGTCTAAGGATATTTGTATTTAACAAACCCTGGATTTAGGTAAAACCGAAAAGACACTTCATTTTTCTTATGATACTAACAGTAACACAAGTGATGAATAGTTTTGCTTAAACAAAGAAGATGGTACCAAAATTCAAATCAACTTTAGCTTTCTCTATAACGTACCAAACAAGAGTCAAACATGTAATAAAACTAAACGTGTAATTCTGCCCGTTCTTCTCTTCGGCATCGAGCAGGAACCGGTACCAAACTGGGGACAAAGGTACAGTGCAAAGGCCAAGGATCAACCACACAATCTATACGATTTTTACTGATCAACTTATTATCCCCCAATATATAGATCCAAGCGTAACCAGTGTTGTCCCAAGAGCACACCACGAGCCTCTTATCTTCGATGAAGTAACTTGGATCAGTGTAGGTTACGGTGTCTACTAAATCCGGCAAGTTAGGACTTGAAAAGGTCATGAAATTCATCCAAACCACATCATCACCATCCTCATGGTTAATCTTGTTCACAGTCACCCAAATCTCAATCTTCTTTGTTACCATGCATTGCTTTAGCAACGAAAACCGATCTCCCCTAAAGACCCTAAGGACAAGAGCATCGCTACTATTATGGTTTCTCCCGCATGGTAGATCACAAAATCTTATGAATAATCCGCTCGAAAAATCAAATTTTCTAATGTGGTAGCACAAGGGAACGGTCTCGTCATGAGAACAAACCCAATACAAAGTTCCATTCAACGATACCACACTTTCAACGTATACCCAATCATCATCATCACTCATCAGGTTCTGGCTCATGGTCTATCCACACATCAGAGGCAAAGTCATAGATTGTCCACAAGTCATCTTTGTTCCGAGGGGACGAAGCAGCGATCTTGTAATTCTTATTGTCATATCCTATGCCTTCGAATTGCATACCTGAATGTTTTAAACTCGGCTCGATCCATCTACTATGTCCCAGCCAAGGATTCTGAACCGGGAGTACCTAATGTTAACTCACGTACCACTATCACGGGATCGATGCTTACCGAATAAACCATGGATTCGGTTGCTAGGATGAATCGAAACGTCATCCTGTGGTGGTTCATGAACGTCTTGTCGTCGAAAAGAGCGTTCCATTGTTTCGATACGGTTCTGAAGCGAACAAGAGATTTAGGTGGGACACGAGAGAGTATCTCTTCGATCAACTCCCATGGAAGCTTCTTCAGATCAACTCCCATGGTTTGTCTTGGAAGAAGAAGATTACGAAGAAGAAGACAGTACTCAATAGTGCGGTCGTGATATGAGCGATCGGCTTCGTCAATCTACTTGTTCGCATGCCTTCACCATTTTCTTGGAGATCGATGTCTCAAAAATCTTTTGTTTTGAAGATGATGTACAAATGACTAAAATGCCCTCAGTGTTAGCGATATCAAATTCTTGAAGACTTTTTTGGCTGTGTTTTACGTTCTTCATGCTTGCATATACATAATTCAAATCAATACAATCACAAACTCTTATGTATAAATTATAATCACAAACTCTTATGTATAAATTATAAGGGTGAGTTTGTAAAGTAGTACGTTTCCAGAACATAATTATAAAAGTAGTCACCTTACTATTCATAATTGGTGAAACCCCCCGTTTTGACTGTGTGTAATAGAGTCCTTCCTCTAATAGAAAAAAAGAGAATTGGTATTAGTGACAAAAATGTCCTTCTGTCTAATAATCACAAGTTTCGACGGCGTCTCGTTTCTCTCTTCACTCTATCTCTACAACTCCCATTTTTGTATCTCTGCAACTCCATCTTCGCTCCATCTCTGCAGCTCTCACCTCTTTCCTCCACTCTCATAGCTTTTTCTCGCCTGTTATCTCTCTTGCAAAAACCAAAGGTTTCAATTTTGGGTCCAATGATATCCTTTGCTCTTACGATGTCTACACCAACCAAGACTCTTCTAATCGTCTTAACTCCGTTCTTGCAATCGCTACCAACTCGAAGAAGGTAAACAAAATACAACACTCAGATTTCGCCTTTCATTTGTTTTTAGTTTTGGGCTTTGCTCAATCGAGGATTTTGTTTGATTTTTGGGAATCTAGGGTTTTGATTTTTGGATTGGTCGATCAGCCATTAATGAGTGATACGAGTAATTAAACACAATTTCTGGTAGTCAATCACGAGACTTGTCGTCTTATTGGTGAGCTAATTTACCTAGTTTCCTCTTTACATGGTCGGCTTCTCCTTCCATTTACAGCTTTCAGATCTTGGGGATAATTGACTTTCACCCATAAAAATTGTTGAAGGTTCCCTTGTTTAATTTGTTTGGTTTTTTAATCTGAAGTAATATGATATGCTGATTAGATTAATTGAAACGTATGGACATTCCCTGTTGTTGTATTTCTGTTAATTAAGTTGTGACTTATGAGGAGCTATGTTCTGATGAAATAGTTTGGCTATGAAACTAATACCACTTGGAACTAGAGCTTGGTCCTGTGTGATTGCCCCTCTTTTCAATTGGAAGAAAATTTCATCCATTTGATCAATGATACTGAGCGAGTCCTTGTTCATTATTTTATTTTTTTCTTGCAGGAATTCCATAAAACCAAATTGGCAATTTCTAAAATTAACCAATTGGAGACATGAGATCAGAGTTGACTCAGCATGGCAAGGAACATGTCGCCGCCACTCCCTGTTCAAGAGTCTAAGAAGAATGAGAACACCTCAGATGCCCACAACTAACTGATTGCACTTGCTTTGCCTCACAAAATAGCCCCACAGCCACAACAACATTATTACATGCCTCCTCCTAAACAACTTCAAAAAGAAAAGAAGAAAAACCCGAAGATAAGAGTTCGAGGAAAAAGAAGAAAAGAAGAAGATAAAGAGCATATATGAGAAGAGATGAGAAAAAAAAGAACTATTGCACGTAAGGGAGATTTGGTAAAAGAAAAATGTAACTTATAGGTGTGCATATTCAAACCCAAATTGGTAAGTGTTTTATCAAACAAGAATTATCCCTTCCTCATTCAATTTCCAATTCCAGAATTTTATATGCCTAACTGGTTTTGCATTTGGAAACACATTTCTAAAGCATGGACACTTATGCTACTTTTGTTGAAGGTGAATACGAGTTCTAGTTGTTTGTTAAAGACTTATATATAAGTTGTGTAATATTTATGTAGTCTGAATTGGTAGGATATTATGTGTGTTGTGTACTGGTTCTGGTATTTTGCAACGAACTTATAATTTATTAACATATTTAGTTATCCACAAAAATGTTATATATCAATTATGATTTCCATAAGTTTACCAAAATCGCAGTCTGTACATATAGTATGCTGTACAGATTAGCTGTACGAAATGCTATCTGTACAGCCACCATGCTGTACGGAATGCTATCTGTACAGCATAAGATATGTACAGAACGCTATCTGTACAGCATGAACATAATACTATCTGTACAGAAACCTGGCTGTACGAAATGCTATCTGTACAACACAAGATATGAAATCTGAATTGGTAGGATATTATGTGTGTTGTCTGTTGTGTACTGGTTCTGGTATTTTGCAACCTGGTACGTTATGCTATCTGTACAGCCACCATAGATGTGAACAGAATACTATGTGTACAACAATATGGCTGTACGGAATGCTATCTGTATAGCATAACCCTAACCGAATGCTATCTCTACGGAATGCTGGTACGTTACGCTTATCATTTTAACCTAACCCTAACTGAAACCCTCATAAATAAACTAAACAAATATATAGGAAATCCAACACTACCAATTTAAAAAACAATATTATTTTCTGTGTGTCTAAGTGATGTACAGATAACCTCTTGCTGGCATCTGTACAGCATAAGATATGTACAAAATGCTATCTGTACAGCATGAACAGAATACTATCTGTACAGAAGCCTGGCTGTACGAAATGCTATTTGTACAGCACAAGATATGAAATCTGAATTGGTAGGATATTATGTGTGTTGTGTACTGGTTCTGGTATTTTGTAACATGGTACGAAATGCTATCTGTACAACCACCATAGATGTGAACAAAATACTATATGTACAGCAACCTGGATGTACGAAATGTAATCTGTACAGAAGCCATTCACATATGAACTAATTTGCTGGAGAACCCATGTCCGAATAGTTTTTCCCTACCTTCTCTTTGCAGCATATTTCCTTTCCTTCTCTCTTATCCTTCAAAACTGTACCTCTTCCTCTTTCTCCTCATTTCTTTTCCTGTCTTCTTCTCTTCTCTTTCTCTTTTCACTACTTATTAAAGGATGCAAAGATAAATCGCTACAACCTCTGGTTTATTGATCCCGCTGCACTAAGTCGCTACAACCACTGGTTTGAAATCTTGAAATTTCCGGATGACATTCTTAACTCGTCATATTGATATATGTGCATTAAATCGGTCATAAATGTTGAACTACTGCTCTGATTGGCCTGAAATCACCGCCGTTGGAAAGCTAACTCAATTTCCTATAACTTTTGTCAAGGGCTCTGAAGCTAAATCTTAAGGTAAGGCTTTCGTCCGAGTTATCTTTTAGACACTGGATCATCATTTCTCATAAGGCACACAAAATATATACCCAAAGACAATATAAGAGTATATCAACAAACTTTAAAATCTTCCAATCACAATGAATGAAATCAGAACTAGAAAAGGCTTGTAATCTTAGAAAAAAAAAAACAAAATGGTAGGCATATTGAAACCATCTAACAAATCACAACAACATTTTCACATAACTAAAATGAAAAAAGCTTCAAATTTAAGCTAAAACCATAAACTGGAATCAGATTCATCTTGAGGAGTACATAGAGGACGTGATAACACAGAGTCATGCAATGAAGACATTATACCCAATAGTTGTAATGAAACTGGTGGTAAACGAGCCATCTGAGAAACGTAAGAGGAGGCAATTCTTACCAACACCTGGTACATGAAAGAAAGTGATAGAGAAAACAAAAGTCAGATAAAACAGAGGCTTTATAATAATCCATTGGAACATAGTGAAACAGTTACAACATTCAACAAAAGGAATATTCAAATCAATTTGGCTAAACCATTTGCGACATTAACCTCTAGAGAATATCATGAAATAGCTACAACATTCATATTTGTGATTTGTGATTCTCCATCCTAATACCAAACTAGTAAGACTATTGAACATCATATGCTCACAACTGTAAAAATAAGATCCAAATCATAGTAAAGTTGTGTTACTCAAATCACTGATGTCTCCGACCAAACAAAACTTAAAGCGTATCAACAAACAAAAATCGAGAGAATCAACAAAAAGAAAAAAGATATAGATTGAATAAAATGCAGGGAACAAAAGTAGGATTACGATCTGAATGAAGAAAACCTACCGCTGTCTCCGATCAGCAGAAGTTTAATGAGGAAATCGTAATCAGCACGAGCTCTAGCAGGAGGAGCAGCCATTGTTTAAAAAATCAAGTATCGCCGAGAAACGAATCACTGGTAAGCAAAGAGAGAGACAAAAACTGAGACAATGGAGACAAAATTTAAATCGAGAATCAATTATGTAGACCATAAATTCGAAAGGAGGAAGTACCAGATCTACTCGGGGAAGATAGATCGTCGGAACGGAGCAAGACAGTAACCGGACGGCCGTTGAATTTTTTTCTTCTCTCGATCGGCTTCGTCGGAGTCGTCGGAGAAGACGAAGAGAAGAAGAGAGAGAACAATTTTTTTTTTTTAATCTTTCTCTTTTCCCTGTAAAATGAAGGAAGCCCTCAAAGCCATTGACGAATTGATTGTATAATTATTTGATAGAAGTAAGACTAATTGCAGAGAACATCCATCGATTTTCATCTTTTGGAGAAGACGAGACTGGAAAAAACAAAAATTTGTTTTAATTTTTAGATTTGGCAATAAACATGTCTCAATGGCAAATATTGTAAATATCAAAGCTTTTTGAGCGTCATAGAGTCTTGCAAACAGTTGCTACAGTGTGCAAGCGGGGATACATCTAATTATAAATAGTGTTTGTACCACTTTTCCCATTAAGTTTCAAAAACGTACTCTTTTCCAAATTATCCCAAATTATAATCACAAACTCGATACAATCACAGATATACTAGAAGGACACTTGACTCTATATACTTCAGCTCCTTATTGCTGATCGAGTGCCCGAGACCAGGATATGACTGCAGATAAACAAAGCTCCTTAGACGAATATTGGTACATTAGATTTCTATCATCAATTTATCTCGAAAAAGATTATTGCTTTTAATATACCTTGAATTCACAGGTAACACCCGCTTCTTTAAGAAAAGGAAGAGCAGCTTGACACTAGCCAAAGTCAATGCTCGTGGAAGAAATCTTATTAGGAGCTAAAGAACATTGGTTTGTGTCGAATCATATAGGTTGAGTTGAACATGATAGTATTCCTCATACTCTATGTGAACAACACCTTGCCACAGTGAAACCAAAGGGCTACTAAAGAGCTAAGGAGACTAGTAAGTAGGATTAAGCAAGTGTCCCTCGTCTTGTTGAAGTGTCTCTACTAAATAGAAAAAACTCCTTTCACTTTTTTTTTTTTTTTTTTTTGACTATGATGATCCCTTCTTATTTGATTGATGCTTTGGAAGTATTGGTCTTATCAAAAATATAAAAAAAATGTGGTGGTGTCTTCCATGTGCGCACACTTGTTTATCCTTTTTTTTTTAGTTGAAAGTTAGATGATAATAAGGCACAAATCGTTGAAGAAAAAAGGAAAATTTGAAAGAAAAACGCATGATATAGCAAAAAATCGAAAGTGGTGGTTTAGCATAGGGTTTAGAAACGTTTTTGGTTTTAACTTTTTTTAAAAAAACGTAGACAACGATTTCTAAATTATATAGATCATGATCTAAACAATTAACATCCATTTAAAATGTAATCTACAATAAATATTTAGTTTTATTTTCTGAAGATTTACTTTCTATATTTAGAGAATTCTAAAAATTTCAGAAAACAAAATCTACAGTATCATAGAATTTACATTCTAAAAGAAGATTACAATTTCTAACGATTGCAGAAGATGTAGTAATTAGTAGAATGACTATTCAAAAAAATTTAGAACATAGACAAAGTGTAGAATGCATGTTCTAAATATTTTAGATATATGATTTTCGGACTTTTAAAATTTTCAGAACAGAAAACTAGTCTAAAATATGTAGAACATGTACGAAAATGTAGAATACACACTCTGACTTTCGCAGAACTCTAGAAAACGTGTTCTAACAAAATTAGACGAAACTTTATCTATAAAAAATCAACTTTATTTCAACCAAATCTAAAAAATTTCACTTCAAATCACCTCTACTCTTGTATATCTACCTGTTTTTCTGATAATTTTTTTTTTAAATGTTTAAAATATGGTGTAGGGGTAGTTTCGTCCAAAATGACAATTTCACGAAAAAGGTATATATGGACAAATTTTTAAGTAGATATTTTTTTTTTTTCAATTTTCTCTTGATAGGTATAATGACCAAACAAAAATAAACTATATAGGTATCGGCGCTATATATATGCAGCATGGAGAATAGGTAAATTTTTATTTGCTAGTTAACGTAATAATAATAGAATAATAGTAGTATTTTTGGTTTAGTTTACTCTATATTTTTTATTATTTAATTTAGTATATGTCATATTACGATCTAGATCTGCAGTCGGATCAGTAAACCTAACGATCCAAACACTAATCCGTTTTGGGCTCAATCTTAATATTAGTATTACTGGTTGAAGCGGTTGTGTTTAAAAATATTGATTCAAACTGAGGACCCATCACTAATTTGTTTTGGATCCAATATTAAAATTCGTTAATTATAAATTTTTTAAAATCCAGAAAACAAACCAGCAAAATCTAAAATGGACAATCTAGAGGATTGATTGTTCCATAAAGAAGATTAAAACATGGAGACCCGCTTTCCCCTTATCTATTTGTTCTTTATAGAGGTTTTAATTGCAAATATTTGGAAATCTGAACGAGATTAGTTAATCTATACTAGTATTTTTGTAACACTTTGGTGACGGGTGGGTAAAAATGCTTCCGGGTATATCGGATATCCGACCCGTTTTTAAAATTCTTTCACAAAAAATTTGTTGGGTCGGGTTATATTTAACCCAACTCATACACCGGATATTCCATATTTAATAATTTAGATATTTAGAAGATTTGATTAAGATTTATAATTATGATTCTCCTATCATCTTTGTTTGATTTGTTTTTAACTGTTTTGAATCATCATATAATACATAAAGTGAAAAACAAAATCAATTTTTTTTTCTGCATATACCGTGATTCGAAATTTTAAAAACGGACATATATTATCCAATTGACGAAAATGTGTGTTCAACGTTCAACATCGATTAATATATTTAGACAATGATTCAGAATCATATCATAAATAAGAACATTAATAAAATAAATGAGTTTTTTGGCCAGACGGGTTTGGCGGGACGGGTTTTTGAATCAACAATAATAAAAAGATTAAAATATCATTAATCCGCCGCTTCAATACGGATTAAATCTTTTTTTTTTAATACCACAAATATTAGACATATTAAATCAGTCTCATTTAGAAAAGATTGTATAAAACCAAAAATTGTCCCGTGGTATAATGTCCCGTGGTCTTAGAGGGTGATATGATTTGTAAACTTTTATATATAATAAATAATCATTAAATTTTAAAATAAAACAAATCACGGGACGGGTTAAGAAATTACGGAACGGGTTATATTTTGGAAAAGATTTATGGCAGACGAATTTGAATCAATATTTATATACCGCTTTAATACAGGTTAAATTCTCAGTTTATTAATAATTGTCTCGTGGACTCGTGGTATACCGTTACTTAATAAAAATTGTAAACTATAATATAAATAAATATGTTATAAGGAGATACAATTTACAAAATATTTTTATAGTAATTTTAAAATTAAATCATCCCGCGGTCTACCGCGGGTTAAAATCTAGTAACAGGTATAAAGGTGATGACTGCAAGTCCTTCGATATCTTATCTATTATTTGCGGATGACAGTTTGTTATTTTGTAAGACCAATAAAGAACAATGCATAATTACTTTAGGGATTCTAAAACAATACGAAAAAGTCTCGAGACAACAAATAAATTTTGTAAAATCCTCACTTCAGTTTGGTGAGGTAGAGGAGTCTACAAAAATAGAGTCAAAATCAGTCTTGGGCATTTCAAATATTGGTGGCATGGGTACGTACCTCGGTTACGGAAATCTAATACAAAAAAATTCTCTTTCGAGAGATATATTGCAAAACATAATCAATGAATGGTCGGCTAAGTTCCTCTCAAAGGGAGAAAAAGAGATGATGACTAAATTCGTAGTTGTTGCACTACCGACCTATGCCATGTACTGTTTTTGGCTTCCAAACGCAATCACGTCGAAAATCACGAGTGTAGTAGCAAAATTTTGGTAGAGTAAAAATGGTCAATCTAGCTTAATGCATTGGCTAGCATGGAATAAGCTTTGTGGTAGTAAAACTGATCGTGGATTGGGCTTTCGAAATGTGGATGATTTTAATAGAGCTTTACTAGCAAAACAATTAGAACTGTTGATTTCGGTTCCTAATTCGCTCCTTGGAAAGGTATTTAAAGGACGTTATTATCGGATATCTAATCCTTTGACATCGATAAAATCATACTCACCATTCTATGGATGGAAAAGTATAGTTTCTGCTAGATCTCTGGTTAACAAAGACCAAATAAAACGAGTCGGGTCCGGCGATTACACCTTAGTATGGGAGGACCCATGGATTCTAGCTCTTTTCCTGAAACCAGCAACTAAGTAATGGTACACTCCTTGTACCATCGCTCAATGTTAAAAATCTTATTGACGTTTGGACTAATTCTTAGAACGTTAATATGTTACAAGCTACCTTTGATAAGGAAGATGTTATGTTGATAAGTGTCCTATCTTTGGGTGACCCAACTAAACTTGATATTCTATGGTGGTATTTTACAAAATTCGAAAAATACAAGGTTAATTCTGGATAGCACACGGCCTAGTTACAAATTCCAGAAGGATTTGGGCTCCATAGTTTTGGCCATGACATTAAAGCTCGACAAGCTTAGACTTGGAAAGTGAAATGTCCGCCAAAACTAAAAAACTTTATGTGGTAAGTCATAACCGGGTGTGTATTGGTAATGACTAACCTTCGAAGACATGGTATCAATTGTGAATCAGTTTGAGCTAGATGTGGGGATATGGAGGAAACAATTAATCATGTTTTTTTTTAATGCCCCCCAACGCGCCAGACATTGGCATTATCACAAATTCTAATGGCCAGAGGTATCTTCTCAACATGGTCCTTATATATGAGCATGGATCATTTATTTTGGAGGACTCCCCTGGATTCTATACATCTTTGTTTTCTTGGATTATTTGGTACTTATGGAAAGCTCGAAATGGAAAATTTTATGAAAACACGGATAACAATCCGATGGAGGTGTTGAGATTGGCGGAAAATGAAGAGCAAGCCTGGGAATTACCTCAGGTGGAGATTAATGAGGAAACTCAGGGATCAATGGTGTTAGATAATCAACATAATTCGAGAGTCGGAAGACTCAGGCCACACATCTCTGGTTATCGTTGTTTTATAGATGAGCTTAGAAAGATTGTGATAAGTTTTTAGGGACTGGATGGTAATGTACGTCACGACATGGGAACCCTCCAACCATGAGTTCTGCAAACCTTAGACGAAGTCTTACGCCACTACGTACGGAGGTGGAAGCATTCATCTGGGCAATGAAGTTTATTATTGGAGCATACAAGTGAAACATAGCTTTTTCACATAATGTTCCAACCTAGTGAAGATTGTGTTTTCCCCCAATGATTGGCCAGCCTTTTCAATATATTTGGAAGAAATTCAGAGTGACAAGGAGGAATTTTAATATTTTTTTTTAGCTTTGGTTGCTCGCAGTGCGAATGTTAATACAAATAATTTGGCACGAAAAGTTTGTACCCAACCGCATTATATCACTTATGTAAGCAATGTTCCCCATCAATGGCTTCTGTGATCTAATCATTTAAAGATGTTAGAAAAAAACCAAGTAAAATCCGCATTGACCCATGATAATTTTTACTGGTTGAAGCGGTTGTTTTTTAAGAATCTTGATTCAACTTTCAGATATTTTTTTGCTTTTAATTGTGTATACTATATTGAATAAATATGTTATCTGTGATTTAGGGTTTTGAAAACGGAAATTTGTTTAACTTACTATGAAACTTCTATGTTGTTCCATTTTCTTGAAAATTTTAAAATAAAAGTATATTGTTATTTTTGGGCACAAACAATTCTTAAATTGAATCCTAAATATAATTTTTCTATTTCTATTTCATATCCATTTCTTGTTTAGATTTATTATTAAAATCTATTTTTTTTACTGAATAATATATATTATTATTTGAATTTTTCATATAACCACATAATTTATTTGAAGTTTTCATCTAACCCTAAAAATTTATTATTATTTGCTTGTTTAGTTACTGTTTTTATTAATCATATATATAATTAGAGAGTCATCTCTCCATCTAAAGTGTCTACATTAAAAATATTATTTAATTCAAATTTATTTTTAATAAATGAAAATTTTTTAATTACATAACAAAAGAGTTAAAGGGGTGTTTCCAAATATATATATATAATTAGAGACTTTTCCCTCCATCTATGATGTCAACATCAGCATTCATGTCATCACATTTTACTATTTCTATAGGCTCCACATATCTTATTTATTAAAATAAATAACAGTAAAAATAAATTTAGTCACATACTTTACATTAAAAAAACAATAGTTTACAAAAAATAAATTACACATGAAAAAATGAAAAACAAATATACAACGCAAAATTTGAAAATTTTGAAGTGAGATTGGAAAAATATTTTAACATGTAATGAATGTGGAAGTCGAAACTAACACAATCGAGATTTGTCTAGGGTTTTAATTTAGGGATACGATTTGCGAGAATTCTCAAAGAACGACAGAATCAATTGATACCAAAGATGGTGTTCTTGATATTATTAAGAAAAAGATGACTTTGATCGTACAAGAGTTTGATCGTAAAAGAAAAAGATGTTTGTGCTGTGAGAGCTTTGCGTAGTGTAAATTCTAGAGTGATATTGCTCTCCCCCTCTACGAGAGCCTTGAGTCTCTTTATATAGGGGTGATAAACCGCCTCTCCAGCGATATTCTCGGAAGATTTCCATTTATCTTGAAGTCGGCGTAGAATATCGCGGTTTTAGGATAGTTTCCTTATTCCTCGGAGTTTTTTGGAAGATTTCCTGATTTGAGTTGATACTTCGTTATTCTTCTTTATCATTTCCGGGTTTATCGGAAATGATCCTTCTTTTTCGGAAATGATGCCTTGCTTGGAAATGATACTTTAAAGACTAATATTTACTAAGTCTTTACCTCGGGTGATGATGAAGACTCAGCCTCGGATAACTTGTGCAGTTGGCTCGGAGATAAGAGTAGCGCAGCCCGGGCTTCCGAAGGAAATTGGCTCGGGCACACGGGAGGAGTCAGCTCGGGCGTCCTGGCATGAACCAGCTCGGGTACCTAAAGTAAATGGGCTCGGGCACTCGAAGAGATCCGGCTCGGGTTCACCAGCTTGCTGGCAGATCCCGAGCAGGCTACAGGCGTTCCCCGAGGCGACCGTTGTGCTGACCCGAGGTGAATGGTACTTTGCACCGAGGTGATGGCTTGCTTCCTCCGAAGTGGTTGGTACGCTTCCCCGAGGTGATCTTCAGAAGTTCCCTGAGGCGTCCGAATCCAGCTCGGTGCTAGGGATGGAATCCGACCCCAACAATGATAAATATTTTTTAATTGTTAGAGATAGGATAAAAGAAACTTATCATAAATTTTGATGGTACAACAATTAAAAAAATAATTAAACATGAAAAAAAAATAAGAAAATATACAACCTAAAATATGAAAATTTTGAACTAAGATTGGATAGATATTTTTAAATGGTTAGAGACAGGGGCGGACCCATTCAGGGGAAAGGAGGGTCAAGTGACCTGGATAAAATAATTATACTTGTCTTATGTATTAGAGTTCTTAAAAAGCAAGCAACAGTTTTGGTAATTTTATGCTTATTGACACCCCATTACCCATGTTCGATTCCCCGGTTTGACACTTTTTGATAAATTTTTCTCCTTTCTTTTGTTTTATATAGGTTTTTGTTGGTCGAAAAGTAGTGAAAACCACAATATTTTTTTCAGATTCATTGTACTTGAATAATATTATTATGCGATATACTAAATAATATAGTTTCATATTTAAATGACCCGGGTAAATATTTTTTCTGGGTCCGCCATTGGTTAGAGATAGGATAAAAGAAACTTATCATATATTTTAATGGTACAACAATTATTTAGTAGAATAAAGAAAATAAGAGTTAAATACAACATCAATGCGAACATTTGATTTTTTGCCATGTAAATGAAATTTCTTTGATAATTAATTGTGATAAATAGTTGGTAGGGAGATTAATGGGAACGAATTAAAATATTAATAACTTTATCCATCTCTGTTTTCTTAACAATTAATATAGTGTTTACATTGGTGGTATTTCCAAAAACTTTTTCAAAGATGATACTCGTACAGAAAAAGTAGAACGGCGGCATCTATTGGCAATACTACATCCTCGCGTATACGGATTCGCTGGTATGCGCTTATAACATGCAGCGGTAGGAAATCTTGGATCACAACCATTACCTAAATCTCTTCTAATTGGATAGTGAATATATTTTTTTTGCGCATCAATGCAACATATAAACACGCATAATAAAATCAAAATTGTCACAAACGTAACCTCTTTTGTTTTTATCATAATTTTAGGATTTGGATGTAATTATATTTGGTGGAGAGATTGGAAAAGCCACTTCGTATATATAGTGCAAGAGGATAAGTTATAGTTTCACTAGCTTTAAAACAAAAGTCAAATTAAATACAAAAACCGAATTGGTGTTACAGTTTCCGTTTCAGTTTTTTTTCTTCAATATATACATTTTGAAATATTTGACAATATTGAGGTTTTAACAATATTTTTCTGTTTGGTTTAATTTCAATCAGTTTTTGTTTTGGTTAAAAGGAATATCAGTCTCCTAATATTAGCTACTACAAGAAAACATCACAATTACCGACGACGGTATTCATCGGAAATTCGTCGGAAATGTATGACCTTTTAAATATGTGAAAGTGTATGACCGTTTAACTTTCATACAGTTTTAGAAAAACCCAACATATTTAATAAATCAATTTTAAAACTAAAATGTTTTAATGTTTTAAATATGATCAATCTTATACATTTTTTGCAAAAATTCAAATTGTATTATTACGTGTAACATATTTCATAGTTTCTTAACTATAATATTAATACATTTGTATTTAAATTAAAAAATTTAATCATAAATAACAATATTTATAAATATGTATGTATAGAATATATTTTAAATAAATTTTAATTAGATAGACTCTTAGGTGGACGTTGATGTGGACGTTGATGTGGATGGCGATGTGGATAACTTAGATGGAGAGAGAAATCTCCTATTATATAATGAACAAAGATTGAAGAAAATATTTTAACATATAATGAGTAAATATTTTTTAATGATTAGAGATAGGAGAAAAGAAACTTATCATATATTTTAATGGTACAACAATTATTTTGCATAATAAAGAAAAGAAGAGTTAAAAAAAATAAGAATTAAAAGGTTTTTACTAAAAAGTAATTCATTTCACAAAATACACATTAAAAATTTGAGAATATATTTGCTAATGTTAAAGTATCAATTCATGATACCGATTAAAAAAATAAGAAGACTTGAGTACATATTTTATTTGTAATTATTATATAATATAAATAGTTAAATTAATAAATTTGTCTATATTATTAATGTTTTCTAAATTCAAAAGTGGAGGTTTTTTTTAATAAAAAAATGAATACCTAAGAAAGAAAAAAATAAATATTAATCAGTATTTAGGAAATTAACATAGATTGAAAAAATAAGGTGATTTGAAATAAAACAAAAAAAATTTCCTAAACATCACAAATAAAAACAAAATAATCTACTCGAATAATAATCTGTGCAATAATAATAATAATTATGCTTAAGAATGCTATCTGGGAATCATAGATGATAAAGAGAGAATTTGTAGTGAAAAGTGTGAGAAATTATTTACTATTTTGGAAAGATAATGCACATGAGTAAAAAAAAAATTAAAATTCAAATGATTAGATTTATACTAAAAAAATCGCATTAGTAAAAGTTTTAAATTAAAATCCTCCGCAAAGCGCGTGTACATAATCTAGTCCTTATAAATCCTTGAACCAGTAACAATTATATATACAAAGGAATGAAGTGTTTATTAGTATAATATTTTTAATATAATTACTGTATTTGATAATAATACAAACATTATGTATTTGTCGTAAAATTAAATATTAAATATTTTTCATCTAAATAGTTCTTATATTAGATCATAAAATCTTTAAAACATAAATATTATTGATCATTGTAAATTGTGTTTATAAGATATTATTATTTGATATTTCAATATATTAAGATAGTGTAATATTTGTATTATTATGATATTACATATAAAAATTATTTTAATTTTTTTGTCAGTTAACATTAACGCCGCTATTATCACTTTTAACATTCTTATTGTTTCTTAGCACTACAAAAGTCGTTACCACATTTCACCAGTTCAGTTCATATATTTTTCTATATTATTGTTATACACAAAATTTCAAAAATAATATAATTTAAGAAGATTATGCACTTATGCATTTTTTTTTTTTAAGGAAAAAATTTTTAATGAAATAAAATAATTAGACCAATATAGTTTACAACTAAATCCACACAATGCGTGGGTCAATTTTTAGTAATTAAAATTTTGAATTTATTTGAGAAGGTTATTTTTTAATTTAAGAAACAAAAATATTAAGAAAATCTTCGAAAATAATAAATTATTAAATTTAAAATGATACTTATAGATTAAATCTTATTTACAGATATATATATATATATATATATATATATATATATATATATATATATATATATATATTTGGTTAAACAACTGGTTCATTCGTTTGAGGGGAACGGCTACATTCTCCTCTGTCTGGCTTTTCAAGCAACATTATATTACTTATGGCGGGAACGCAATGAGCGAAAGCACAACAAGCATTACGGGACTCACACCGAACTTGCTTGCACGATGGAGAAGACAATAAGGTCGCGAATCATGTCTTTGAGATACACTGAAAACCGGAAGATAAGAGGGCTGCTGCCTGCTGCAACGATTGTTCAGTTCAAGACTTAATCGATCGTAGCTTGAGGCTCTGCTTTTAAATTTTATGCTCTGTTTTGTGTAAGTCTTAGGAAACTCTATAACTATTGTAAATAGCCTTTGATTCATAAATTAATTTCACATTTCATAAAAAAAAAAAAACCAAATGGTTCATTAGACGTTTTCTTTGATGAATTAATTCAAAACATTTTCTTGATTGGATCATTTGTATGTAAGAAATGTGATGTATTTGCGAGGTGGATTACGAAAACAATATAACCAATGTACTGGTTATTATCAAGATGAACATTCAACAAGAATACGTGAGGGAAAATTAGTAAATTATCTAATTTAAGCAAAGAAGATGGTAATGAATAAAAACACCGAGATTCAAATCAAATTTAGCTTCTCTATAACGTACCAAACAAGAAGCCAAAAAATGTAATAAAACTAAACTTGTAGTTCTGCCAGTTCTTCTCTTCGGCCTCAAGGAACCGGTACCAAACTGGGAATAAAGGTACAGTGCAAAAGGCAAGGATCAACCACACAATATATATGAAATTTACTGATCAACTTATTATCCCCCAATATATAGATCCAAGCACGACCAGTGTCGTCGCAAGAGCACACCACGAGCCTTTTATCTTCGATGAAGTAACTTGGCTTAGAGTATAAATCCGGCAAGTTAGGACTTGAAAAGTTCATGAAATTCATCCAAACCACATCCGCACCATTTTCATTAATCTTGTTCTCGGTCACCCAAATATCAATCTTCTTTGTTACCATGCATTGCTTTAGCAACGAAAACCGATCTCCCCTAAAGATCCCAAGGACAAGAGCATCCCCATCATGGTTTCTCCCGCATGGTAGATCACAAAATCTTATGAATAATCCGCTGGAAAAGTCGAATTTTCTAATGTGGTAGCACAAGGGATCGGTCTCGTAATGAGAACAAACCCAATACAAAGTTCCATTCAACGATACAACACTTTCAATGTATATGCTACCGCCATTACCAGGTTCTGGGTCGTGGTCTATCCACACATCAGAGGCAAATTCATAGATTGTCCACAAGTCAAGATTGGGATATTTGATCCCAGGGGACGAAGCAGCGATCTTGTAAGTCTTATTGTCGTATCCTATACCTTCGAAATTCATACGAGAATGTTTTAAACTCGGCTCGATCCATCTACTTTGCCCCAACCAAGGGTTCCAAACAACGGCTCCATTATTCTTGCCACATAGCAACAACCCATTGCAATCAACCAAGTTTTTAAGTTTGAAAGCTAACCCGGGAGTACCTAAGGTTATGTCACGTACCACAACAATTACGGGATCGATGCTTACCGAATAAATCCTGTATTTGGTTGCTAGGATGAATCGAAACGTCATCTTGTGGTTGTTGATGAACGTCTTGTCGTCGAAAAGAGTGTTCCATTGTTTCGATACGGTTCTGAAGCGAACAAGACATTTAGGTGGGACACGAGAGAGTATCTCTTCAATCAACTCCCATGGAAGATGCACCATCTCTTTAACTAATTTTGGGTTTTTACTTTCCCTTGGTTTCTATCTTTTTTAGTTTCTTAATCTCTATTATATATTAAAAAAAAATTAACATTAACTTTGTCAAATGCCATATCATATGCCACTGACATATATATAATAGACAACAAAAATATACTCCCTCCGTATTTTAATAAGTGTCGTTTTAGAATTTTTATTTTTTTGAATTGGATGTCGTTTTCAAATTTCTATGCAAAATTTATTACTTTTTAATGT